CTTTGCGGTGCAGGTGAGCACGGTCCTGGGCCACCGGGCACACCGGGCGGCGCTACGGGGACAAGACGCTCAGCTAAGTGTGTGCAGTGTATGATGGGGGTGTGGAGTTTGCTTTATTTTTGTTTGGCAAGCTCAGCTGTCCTGCCACAGTGCCTGGGGGCTGCTGTTGGTGTATGTGCAAGGGCCCAGCCCTGGATGGGTGCCCTGGGCAGCAGGGGCAGCTCTCTTTGGCATGCCCTTGCTCACCATGTGTATGTCTCTTGGCAGTTTGCTTCCAAGGCAGACAAGCCTCTGGTTGAGATTTACGTGGCTGATGAATGGAGCCGGCCTGAGCAAGCAGTTGTCAGGTACAAGATGGCTGCTGGCTTTCACCGGAGCTCCTGGGACTGGATAGGACTCTACCGGGTAGGGGCTTGGGGGCTGCTGGGGCTGGAGGGAGTGGGGAACGCTGCACAGCACCGCAGGGTCCCGTCTGAGTTAGCCCCTACCACTGGGCACAGGCGCATGGCACGGACCTGTGCTCTGCACTCTCTGTCTGTGAGGCCCTGGCAGTTAGCAGCAGGATTTGGCCCTGCTTCTGGAGGCTCAAATCCAGCAGTTCCCTCTTCCTCCTGCTGCGGGCCCCACAGGGTCCAAAGCCTGGCATGGCCATGGGGGCTGGGAGCCAGGGCACTGCTGGGCAGGTGGAAGGCAGCTCTTAGTGCCCTTGTGCAAGGAGAGGGGCTGAGCGAGAGGAGAGCTGAGGCTGGGTGATGGTGCTGAGCAGGGACGGTGTGTCCCCTGTCCCCACTGCCTGTGTTCTCACATGTCCCTGTGCACAGGTGGGCTTCCGGCATCCTAAAGATTACGTGTCCTATGTCTGGGCCAGGAGTGATGATGGAGAGCGCTGCCTGGAGAAGCAACTGTGTGCACAGGTGAGCTGGGGCAGCCCTGCTGTCTTGCTGGGCGTGTGTGCCCCATCGTGGGGGTAAAATGGCCCTTTGTGCCCCTGATGGGGCAGGAGGACACCTTCTTATTGCTTTGTGCTGAGCCTTGGGCAGGGCCACTGTGCTGGCATCGGGGATTTCTGCTCTCCGCTCGGGCTGGAGCTCATTATGGGGCTGGAGGTAGGAGGGGGCACCCCTGTGCCCAGCCCTGGTGCCCATCAGCTGTCTCTGGGCTGCAGGTGATGTTCTCAGAGGAGGCGCTGCCCAAGGGGAAGGGCGAGTACATCCTTGGATACTACAGCAACACCTCCAGCAGCATTGCTGGCATGACTGAGCCCTTCCAGGTCAGAACGGCAAGGAGGCGAGGGTGAGGGGCTGCAGGGGGGTGTGTGGGGGTGCTTGGCTGCAGGAGGCCAGCTGCTGTGGTGCCCCATGAGGGTCAGCCAGCAGTGCTGATGCAGGGGTGCAGATCTCCCTGCCCAGGTCGGAGGAGGGCAGCAGCTCCACGGACAGCTCAGGCAGCAGCTCAGAAGAGGAGGATGACAGCATGCTTGTCCTGCTGGCACCCAAATCCCGTAGCCCCAG